TATTGAAAGCCCGACCAGAGGCCTGAACTATGAAGTAGGATTTAAGATTAGCGAGCTAATTTATGGTTCAACAGATTAAATCGCCATGGTAAACTATGCTAACTGCATAATTTTCTCTGAGCAGGCTAAGTTCAACAAAACAAATTGACACGTATTAAAACATCCCCTACAGATCGATCTTTTCTCTTGGAAAATGTCATCACCATTTCTAGAAGTTCCCACAGAGCTCAGTGTGCAAATAATTCAATTTCCACTCAATTCAACTTTATTTATGTAGCACCAATTCACAACATAGGTCATCTCATAACACTTAACATAGTAAAGTAGTCCTGTAAGAGGGTCTCTGAGGACGGCGAGAGGTTTCAGAGCGAGTATCATGTTTCTGCAGTAGGGGAGGTTTCATTTTCGGGACCACAGTTGTCGAACACTTTTCCTTCGACCCCTGTTTTTCATGAAAACACCATGTACTGAATTGGATATCTAAGGGAGCAGCATGCAACCTGTTGATGCAAGAACTGCATTTCTGGCCAAGATAGATGACAATTTTAGCACAAATTCTGGATGTAAATCAAGTTTTATTTTTTAACATTAAAAATTGTTCCAATGGCTTCATTGGGACAGAAAAGTTTTAAAAAGCTTGGCAATATGAGGTCGTGTCTTGTCTCTCTCCAACCTTTCAAATATCTGTTTGAGATTTTGTGACTACAAGACCATTGCATATGATTGCATCGTTATTTTACCTGATAATTACCTAATTATGCTAATTACAAAATTTGCTCAACAAGAAACTCTCAGCAACACAGTTAAATTGAAATGTAATGAATGCGAAAATTATTAATCCATCCTTCACATCATGATGAAAATTGTTTGAATTTATTACTTGATTATTTATTCTTTATATAATTTGACATTTTGTGAATGGCATAAAGGGACTACGTTTGTAATTTCATGATACAGTCTGGTGTTACATAGTAATGTCAGAGCCTACACCTAAGCTAACCGAAACGTAAATAAAACTGTACTCTGATTGTGCCTTAATTGAGGCAGTGATATTGATGAGCTGATTAACTCACATTCACACAGTTCAGTCTTTTTTTTTTCCAGCTTTCTTTCCTGGTTTTTCCTTTCAAACCTGACAGCTGTGTTTCTTCTAGTCTGTCTTGTGTTTTTAAATTCCTCATATTGGTTTAAGATTACAGTTTGTTATTCTTGTGAAAAATATGCAGCTCTAGATGTCCATGTTTGCGGTCCGTCATCTGTTGCCAACTTCGCCCCTTTCATGTGAATGCGCTCACAGCTAGATTCAGAAACCCTGGGTGGACTGAATGAGCTGATAACCAGCTTCGTGTGACCGCTCAGTGTGACTGCTTGGGCTTAGTGAAGCCAGATAATGCAAATATATCTTGGGTATGTTCAACTCGCTTCATAGTACAGGCCACAGGCTGCAATCTAAATGAATGGCGAGGGAGCAATAACTACAAAGTATCAGGAGAAGCAGGAAATGTGTCACACAACCACCGTCACTGGGAATTCTCCCATAGATTTCTATTTGGGATTCTCTCAAAGACGAGTCTCTCCCTTATAATGTCTCTAGTTTAGTTATTGAAAACCTATATTTCCCTAAAGCTGAAAACAACCAAGACTGCTAGAGATGCAAAACAATCAAAATGAGATGCAGAATGACCTCAAAGAGACAAAGAAGGGCTACAAAGAGATGCAAAATGAGACAAACTGAGACACAAAATAAGCAGGATGTAACAAAAACTAACCACAAAGCGATGCAAAATAACCAGAAAGTGATGAGATGCAAAATAATCAACATGAGACACAAATTGCCCCAAATAAAATGTGAGCACAACGAGATGCAAAACAATCAAAATAAGACTCAAAATGATCAAACTAGGACAAGAAAAGAAAAGAAAAAAGGAGGAAAAAATGCCAAATGACCTCAGAGACAAAGAAAACAAACATGAGACCTAACATAATCTAACTGTGACAGAAAATAACCTCAAAGAGACACAGAATGGTAGCAAGGATATACAGAAACACTAATATCCAAAGAAATCTAAAGTGAGGCAAAAAATGACCACAAGGAGACATAAAAAGATGCAAAACATCTGTAAGACACAAAATAATCCCAAAGCAGGTCTGACCGTTCACACCTCTGTGCCCAGAGGCTCATTGTTTCATAATGCCTCTCATGTAATGCTATTTGCATATATTTGGGTCAAACTGTCTGCTAACAGCTCATTTCTCAAGAAGATAATTGCCCAGAGATTTTTGAAGAAGCCACAAGGTCGTTGTAAACCACTTAACGTTGTTCTCAAAGTATTTGTAGAATCCCAGAAGACTCTTGTAACCACATGAATGAAATAATCATGTCCTCCGACTGATGAAAAAGATTTTTTAACTCCTTTCCCTGAAGCTACCACAGCCTTGATTTTAGGGAGTTCCAAGGATCCTCCAGGTAGCCCACTTATGACAATTTAAAAAAATCACTAGAATTAATAATTTCTATTCTAAATAAATAAAGATATTAGTTACCAAAATAAAAGTCTGAATACTGCTTCAAAAAAGTCTAGTGGAGAAACAGTGAATCATTTGATATTTATTTAGTTTGGCATCCGAGTCTTGGTTATTATATTGTATTAAATACGGATGTCCGTTTTTTGATAGTTGGCTTTTCATTATGTGGTGTGACTAATTATTTTTAATAGTAATCTGGAAGTTGATCACTAGATGTAGCATGTTTGTTTCTGAACAAAATTTAGTCTTAAACTCCCGCAATCACTCAAAAAAAGACCCAGCATTAATGCAATTATTTCCAGATTGACATAACTATTGCACAAATAAACATGAAATGATATCATCCTCAAAATAACACCAATTCTTGGTATGAAAACAGCACAAAGCTCAAGAATGCAACTGTAAACAAACTCCTTCTCCTTTAAATGTTGGATTTGTCATCACAAGTTTAGGAAAAATCTCAGCAGCTCATTGTCTGCTCACATAACGTTAGAATTGACTGATGTGTGTTTATATATCTTTGTAGCTCTTCAAGTACAATTATGTAATGTAACAGATTTTCTCTTTATACATTTTTAAGTGCAATACAAGTTACTTATGTCTAACTAATCAGCTCTTTTACGTATAATTCTACACACCATTGAGCTCCTACAATTTGGGTACAGTCATCCATCATGCCATATCTGTACATGTGACAGGTCTACATAGTCTATTATTATCTACTTTTTAAAAAATTATTTACTATGCTTTATTTGAATCTAGCTGCTGTAACGTGAATATCCTGGTGAGGGATCAAAAAAAGTTTATCTAATCGTAATGCTGTCGAGAAATATAATCAACAGGACTGAATGAATGCTATTTTGAGTGCAGCAGAGAGGCCGACATGAAGCAGGAAACAGAAGCTCTGCAACTCTCCTACAGTTGTTCTTGTTGCATTTTCTATCATCACACATGAAATGATGAGAGAATATGTTGTTTATTTGATCCAGTTACATTCAAAATCTCTCATTTCTTTCAACAAGGCTTCACTTTTAATTCCTCTCTGCATGTCTCACATGCTCTGGTAAGATCTGGACACTGTTTCTGGCCTCCAGGATTTCTGAATTGGACACTACATGCCCATAATGCCAGTCATGATGTGTTGTTATCATGTAATCTCATTTGTGAGACCTTGACAACTTAATGCATTATAAAGGATTACAGCAGCGCAACCTATAAAAATATCTATAACACTGTGTTAATACAGAAATCCTGTTCTCGTGAATTAATAACCCCTCTATATTAAGCAAATGCAGGTCCCTGGTTAAATAAACGTGTTGCCAAGCGACACAGATATGAGAGCTGAACTTTGGTCGGACGATGTTTAGATTAACAAGGGCGTGTTCAAGAGCCTGCATTACTGCATGAAACAACAAATCCAAGGTGAAAATGAGAGGTGTTTCTGTTGGAGAATATGAAATAAATTAATAGAAAAGACCAGATGAAAACTGAAAACTTTGAGGAAACTGAAAGACAATAACAAAGGTGGATCCAAATATGAGTCACATTAATTATAAACAGAAGCCTGTTCCTAGAAACAAGTTTGCAGAGCTACCTGCTGTATAAAACCCAGAAAGCCCCTAAAACTGTTGATATTCTGCGCTTTACTTTAAAAACAAAAAACCAAAAACTGAAACCTTGTAAAGTTCTCTGACACAACAGTCTGGTAATGACAGCTTCCACTTACTCAACCTGTCTTGCGGTTGCATTGCGTTGCATTGTGGTCTAGTATGGCTGCTGCTGCTGGTGAGGAAACTGCAGAAAAACTGTGACACTTTTGACTGTGACGAAGTGAAACCCGCAAACGACTTATAATATTTTGAAAGTGTCCAAACTCTGCTGAAGCCATGTGGAAACACCCCAAAGTGACTTCACATTAGTGACGTTTAGAAGCTTGTTCTAAGAACTCAGAAGGCTTCACGACCAGAAACCCCCCCCCCAAAAAAAAGCAACAAAAAAAAATTGCTGCATCAACAAATATAATTGATAGCATGTAAGGATGAGGCCTCGAGAAGCAGGAGATTAAAAGATTCCAAACAAATTAGATTTTGCATAACTTTCCATTACGACATCGTGAAGAAGCCTGGAATTCATGTGACATCAACTTTAGCCTAAAGCTGAAGAGGCCAAACAAAAGCAGCTCAGATAAAACAAAGAAACAGAAAACAATAAGAATTCACAACAGTGTTCTTGTATTACAAACACAGAGAAGCTTATTTGGCAATACTCTATCATTATTTATTATAGTAGCTCTACTCCAGTGATGTGCGGTCAGTGGAGGCAGGCTCACCTGCCATCACGAAAAGAAAAAAAATACAATGATAAAATAATTTAAATGGTTATATTTATCCAGTGATTTGTACTGTAAAGCATAAATTTTGATGATTTTTTAAATTCAAAATTGCTAAATTTCACAATTTCCCATTCAAATGCTTGGAAGAGAAGCTGGTGCGGCAGCAGCGAGCTGAGCCTCACTTTGGATTGTGTAATCCCTCCCTGTGCTGGATGCCATGCAGTGACAGCGTGCTGCTGTCTGGATGTCGCCAATAACACGGTTCAAACACATTTAATATATAACCTGATTTTCCATAGTTCAGCTGATGTGTACAATAATGTACAGTGTTTTATTGTTACCAACTGTATGTGTGTCTCGCGTTTTGTGTGCTGAGAAGAGGTTCCAGGTGAGGCAGGCAGTTCTCCTGCCTCATGGCAGGGAGCGCTCGTGATCCCAGACATGCTTCTTGTGACTCCGTGGCTGCAGAGTAAGTGACAGCAAGCTAGACTAGGTACAATACACAGTTAGCAAGTCAAGTGCAGTGATCCATTTGTTTTTTTTCCCCCTCTCGCCCAGTTCAACATGAAGGACTACAATTCTTAAACAATTTTCGTTATTTTTCTATATCCGCTACTTTTAAAAGTAACGGATATTTTTGTCCAAAAGCAGCGGTGCATGGACTTTATTTAAGTGTTTTTTAAAAAATGAAATGTGCGTTTTGTGGGCTACAGTTTGTATGTGTAAAGAATGCAGATATGAAACATAACTTGTTAACTGCTGCCAATCAAATGGCAAATGAGCTACTCTGTAGAGTGCATATATTTGTAAATGTGATTGTAATGAAGTCAGTGCCTCACCAGCCACGAACCTCACTGCACGTCACTGCTCTACTCATTGGGCAAAGGCACCACTGATAGTCTGCAGGCTCAAAAAAAGTAAATAAATAAATAAATTCTTGTGCTGTGGCTTTTGTGGTACAAAATAAACATTAAAATGGGCAATACTGATACACTGAATGCTTCTGATTATGAAAAAGTAAATGAAGTAGGCATTGCATATTTAAAAGATCTCATTTAATTTGTGGATACGAATTCAGGAAACAGTTTACAACCTTATTTCAACATGCAGTGACCATAAAGACGCATCACAAAGATGTCAAAGGTGTAAGAGTACGATTAGACCAAGTTGGTAGGCAGTCGTGTGTTTGCGTGTTCACAGTGATTAAAAGTGTCCTCACCAAAAAAAAGGAAAAAAAATCAAACAGTCTTATGAAGGGCTGAGTTCTGATGCATATGACAAGCTGAGTTTAATAGCATTTAATAGTTGAGTTCGACTATCCAGGATTAAAACTACAGATGTAAACAACATGTTATTCCAGATATCGAGAGTATCCCTCTGACCAGTTTAAACCTAATTCAAGATATATATAAAGAACAGCGTAGACATCTGATGGGAAGATCTTGAACTAGAATTATGTCTGGTCAAAATTAAACTGTAGATATTTGAACCTGAAATTAAACAAGTCATAATTCAGCAGTTGCTGATTTGTAGATATCTCTAAAAAGAGACACCTGAAAGGTAAATGATGATGTGGATATCTGAAATGTAAACTGCAATACACATCCAGTCGAGCTATTAAATGTTAAAACCGTTTGCCATAAACACACAACTACTGAGCTTATAAAAAGAAAAGAGTCGGGGAGGTTGTGACATTGGAAAATAAATGTACAAAAGAGGAAGAAGGTGGTGGCATTCAAATAATAAAAAAAGTGTCCAAAATTCTAACCAGATGCCTTTTAAAAAACTGGGTTGGTAAAGGTTGGAGCCCTTGCAGTGCTGATGTTGTTGCATCCACTCGTCTCATCCACACTGCACACTTTAAACCAGCTGTGACGTCTCCACTGAGCGTTGGCACGGAAACTCATCCGCAGGACTTATTATTCTGCCTTCAAATGGGGTCGTGTTTATGAGAAGAGTCCTGATGAACCCTCCAGTGGTGCTCACCAGCTCCACAAAATCTGTTTTTCAGTGGATGGTATGTCATTTTCTAACATTAGCTGAGTTTTTCTCTCTAATGTCATTATGTTGAAGGAAAATTTTGATATTCCCAATGGCCTCATCTTTTCAGTATATTTTTTGCATGTCGCATTGTGCCTTGGGCTATTATGTCACCTGCTTGCTAGCTTGCTACAAGATACTGAAAGTGACTTTCCACTGCAGGAACTTGGTGGCATGAATGTTTACGGCACTTGGCCCTTTTAGTCTTTTTTTGTTTCCATTATGGTGTTGGATCTAACAGCTTCAACTCTGAGTTAACTCCGGGTACTCCAGAACAACAGCGAGTCGTAGGTTTTTGGATGTAACTGTTCTACAAGCATGTAGGAAATAGAACAATGGAGGTTTGTTATATAGCCTATATGTGACCCAATTGCACGAAATCAGTCGCATTGCGCCTTGGGCTATTATGCGTATACAAAAGCAGCGTGTTGCTACCACATGACGCAAATCACGGGACAGGATTGGCTAGCAATGACATATTGCTCGCGGCGCCTGTGCACAAGTGATTGCCATGGCTTCTTTCTTGTGTTACTGCTCAGGCACGCTGACGGTATTTGACAGCGATATGGAGCATAATATTATTATGCTTTGTAAATTATATGTTTGCTACAAGTAGAAAACAACTAAATGGACCCATAGTAATAAGTAATAAACCCAAAATCAATATTTTATCATGTGGTAACGTAACTCGGGCTGTATTTCGGATATAGCCCAAGGCACAATGTGACAGATTTCGTGCAGATGGGTCACATATGGAGAATTTTACATTAAAGATAGTGATGTAAGAGAGGAGAGCATTGCGACTCCACAAGAACATCAGAGGGGACAGAGTGAAACCATCAGTGTCAAGTCCCTCACAGCTACCCTGGAGTACGTGCTTTTTTCTGCTCAAAGTGTTGCAGAGGAGGTTTTAAAGGAGCTGCTGCTGTCGTAGTCAGAACATGCAAAAAGGCTCAGGCTGCCCTAAAACAGCCTTCAAGTTCCTGCAGTGGAGAACAGCCTCCTGTTGCCAAGTTCTCGCAATTTCAAGTCGATGTTACCACGAGAACACCATGAATTTGGCGAACTCCTACATTACAATCGCAAGCTCACGAGTTCCATTTGAAGGCAGCGTTGGTGTGATCCAGAGGAAGCAGTGTACCATTTAAAGGGATGGCAGAAATCATCTCAGAAAATACAGAATGTGGTTTCCAAGCTGCCTCTCGTACCGCGCCAGAGCTCACCATGACAGAGTGAGAAGGTGGTTACATATACTGTACAAATGAAGCCCTTTAGTCTACTTTGGTACCTAAATCATTCTGCTGTAGAGTTACTCTCATCCAAAAACAAATCTACACGGTTTCACTACGTTATAAAACTGTAGAAAATACTGTCGTTTTCAGAAGCTTACATTGTTCTTAAAAAAAATAAAAAAATAAAAAATTGTTCAATGGCACATTAATGTCCTTAAATGCCGACGTGCTGCACAGACGAGGACGTCTTTCCATTGTTCTGGTCCTCTCAGTGAGGGAAGAGTACTGTCATGGCCCTTTGTAGATGCTTTCAAAGCAAATGAAACAAAATTCAACAAAGGATCCTTTTACTTTGCTATGCTGTAAAAAGATAATTAAAACTATATAAAAACTCCAAAGGAACTGTACAAAATAAAATCATCAGGTCTGCTCTTGCATCTGATAAGGCACAATTTCATACATGTATTCCTTACGAACAGTGTCCGCCAGCTTTTAGTCTCGCTGGAAAAAAAAAAAGAGAAGAGCTTGTTTTCACACGTAAGCACCCAACGCTGCGTGAAACTCTGTGAGACACTGAACCAGCTGCTGAAACTTGGGCCTCTCCTCCGGGTCCAGAGCCCAGCAACAAGCCATCACTGCAAACCTGCAACACAGAGACACACACACAAAAAAAACAATCAAAATCAGATATCTATCCACGAGCAATGCCAGAATAATGTTTTCTTTAGTGTGCGTTTGTGAGACAGAAACTGGCTTCAGACTCGGGGCATTGTATTCACCTGGTATACACTTTGTACTGAAACAGGAGCTGCCTGTGCACTGCTGATATAAATGACTGAGATATAATCACTTCTTAATCAGTTCTGCCCTTACATTTTGCAACCTCCAATATTTTGGAAAAGGAAGCAATCACTTCAACAGCCATTGTACTTACAAGGAAACCGAGTTCGATCTTTTGACAGATCTCAGGTAATCAGCTCCTGGATTTCTGTTTATTATCAACAATCAGAGTTTTTTGTGGATATGTAACACCAAGTTTTCCTTTTTTTACTGGGTGGGAAGTACAGACTTTTGAGCTGACAATCCAATAGTGCAACTAAACTGCAACTGATCAGACAGTTTTCTTTGTTTTCTGATTTGTAACTGATAGGTGATCTGAAGCTGAAGCTCGGAAATAAACAGATTTAACTAATAACCACAACATGATAAAACACAATAGGATAGTCTTGCTGATCTACAATTTGGGATCGAAGTTAGGATCAAATGAGGGTTCAGAGTTGTTGGAAAAGTGAAGAAAAGAAGTGTGCGTTTGTGTACAGACTGTCAAAGTCAAATACTGGATTTTAATTGATCGAGAGCGAGAGCAGGCATCAGGATGGTCTTGACAAGGTACAGAGGTTTTTACTGGAACAACTGATCAGCCACAATATGAAACCATGGGCCGGAAGAGTAAATAACATCGATTTTCTTGTTACGGTTCAATGTTACGCTGGCAAACCTTGGGTGCTGACATTAAAGTGGGTGTTACTTACAGAAAAAACAGTGATTTTAAGGTTACTTTCTGTCGCAGATTTATCACTCCTAAAAGCTCTCTGTGTATCAGAGTTACATATTACAAGTTTATTTCCATAAAAAATAATCCCTTCCTGCCTTTAAATGTCTCAGATGTAACTCTACACTGTTGCTTCCTCTAGAACATGCAGATTTATGAAGTCCATGCTTCTCAAGCACATCAGCTCAACTGTGACTGTTTTCAAACACTGTACAACTGCTACACAATGGAAGGCTGTAATATTGGAGTAATACAGTCACGAACCGAAAACTGAATCTGAAGAAGAACAATGACACAGAACGTCAAAGCCTGCAAATCCACAGATTAGTTCCTTATGTTTGCTTTACTTGAAACGCTGGACGTCTGAGTCTGTGTTTTCAAAGCCCTCGTTGCTACAATGCAGTTTCAAAGGAGGAAATGCTCAGCCATGGCATTGCCTTCTCATTTCGCTCATGATTTGTCTTCTCGAATATAAAACACCACATGGCCATGTTAGCAGGGTAAGACATTGATGTTCACCAGAGGGGTGCTTAATTTTGTAGCAGATTGGTAAACAGTATAATGAACATTATTTTGAACCATGAATTAATTTTATATTTAGAAAGAAATATGATTAAAAATTATAGCTAAATAGTAACAGCTAAGATTTTCTTGATAAAATTAAAGCTGTTGGTGACAAGGCTAATACACAGCACGGTAATGGACTTTGCCTCCTGCACCCATAGCTTGAACTCTCCCTGATTGGAGTCAGTCATGCTTAACAAACGAATGCACCTGGGTGGTTGGCCACTGCAGGCCTGCTGTGAACCATGAAAAGCTACATTATCACCCAGCAGTGAGAAGGTGACAGCCTTAATATTGATGAAAAAGCCTGTAAATAATAGTGCCCTGGCAGCAAAATGGCTGCAAAAGCTGCTCCTTCTTCTTGACAGTTGTAGGATGTTGATAAGCTTCACTGCTGGTAACAGCTGAACATTTTGGTTTGATTGAAGTCTTTTATTACACAAACAATGTGTCAGCAGCAGCGTACTTCTTTGTTGAAAGTCCTGGCTGATGATAAACAAACACACATGCTTTGCTCTGCTGCAGGGATATACTAACTTAGATTTATGCGTTCATGTGGAACTTAATCTGAAAGCAGAGAGCAAAAGCTGGACATCAGCCCTAATGAGCTGGTCACCATTTTTTTTTTACCTTCTTGTGTGCTGTATGACAACTTCCACAACAGAAAATGTTCAATGAGGGGAGCACCAGTAGGAGCACATGGTGAAGCAAAAATGATCACTTGTACTTCCTTGCCAATGACATCAGGCAGGTCATGAAAGGCGGTAAAATATGATCAATCAGGAACCAATATGTGAGTTTTCATGTTTCACTGCAAAGTCATGCAAGAATTTATGACTCTATAATCATCTGTTTGAACACAGTGGCCGCCTTATTACACAAAAATATGATGTAGTCTGAACTTGTCATTATACTGGATGCTGTGAGAATTTAAAACTTCATATACACAGAGAGAAGACTCATTAAATTGATCTATACGTTTACCAAGTTCTTAATAAAATGAGGGAAAACACAGTGTTTGTGTGCCTGCGCATATGCTCTGAAAACCAGCTTACAGTTCATCTGGACAGTTGATAGGTTGTGCTATTCTGTATCCATCCTTCAGGTAAGCCGACATCTCGAAAGGGTCGATGTCGACGTAGGGGGTCTGACCCAGAGTCATCAGTTCCCACAGCGTCACTCCGAAGGCCCACTGTAAACACGCAACACATGATTAACACCGACATCGTTGTTTAGCATTCATTTAGAACATTTTCTAAAACGCAATCAACACAAGCTGGTGCTTTAATAATAAACAGGATAAACAGAACCAACATTTCTATGCAGACTGCGGAAAACCAGTGGTGCCCAAATGAACAATGTAAGGAAACTATGTAAAAAAAAAAATGTATTTGGGATATAAATCATTGCTGCAAGTTTTTGTTGGGAGTCTGAAAGTATAAACAGCTGGGTGGTCCTTATGTTTAGGGAGAGTGTGAGTTCAAGCTTCTGGCAAGTATTGTTGTTCATTCTGACCCCCGAGGAGAGAACAAGGAAAAGAAGGACTTCACTTGTAGTGTGAACAAGAGTTGCTCTTGTTGTTAACCCCAAACTAAGGTCACATGTAAAAATAAAAGCTTACAATAGGTGTTGACCCTGCAATTGTTATTGGGAATTCTTAGAGCGATATAAATTATCTACAATAAAACTGATATAATCTGACAGGTTTGAAAGGCATGTTTTCTTATGGGTGAAAACAAAATTGCCATAATTACACACATTCTCAGAGGCAGAAACTGTAAAAACAGAAGGATTTGTTTCATTTGTAACTTTCCAAAGGTCCTTGAACTAACCATGTGTGACAGGTGATTCTGTCAAGTTTAAAACTGTAACATCTTACCAAAAAGACTGAATTCTCTATATCTCTATGGGGCTGGAGTCTATCCCAGCTGACGTAAGGTGAAGGCAGGGGACACCCTGGACAGGTCACCAGTCTATCACAGGGCCACACTTAGAGACAGACAACCAAGCACACTCACATTCACACCTACGGACAATGATTATTAGTTTTTCTTTTTTTGGCCTTTGTGAACTCATGACCTCCACATTGGGACTGTAGCCCTGCACATGGGACGCCAGCTCAACCAGGTGAGCCATAGCGGCGCCCCAACCTACCGACAATTCAGAATCACCAATTAACCTCAACATGTTTTTGGACTGTGTGGGAGGAAGCCGGAGAACCTGGAGAGAACCCACACTGCACGGGGAGAACATCCAAACTCCACGCAGAAAGATCCCAGTGTCCTCACTGGGATGCGAAACGGCAACCTTCTCGCTGCACGACAACGGTGCTAACCACTGAGTCACCTTGCGGCCCAGTTGCAAAAATGTAAGTAGTAAAATATATTTAAGTATCCATAGGCACTATTTCTTTTTCAGGTATTGGCAACATCTGTGCACACTTCAAAAAATGGTATGCATGTTGATGCCACATGTTTTCAATTTTTGTAAAATAGATAAACTCAATTTCAGATTTTTTAAAAGGATTAATAGCCTGACTGTGTACTGGACAAATGACATTTTTGATTCCTCTCTACTTTTTTTCTTTTCTTTTCTTTTTTTTGTTGCCATTTTTGTGATGTTTCCATAGATGTGCAGGACTGTATACTACAGTGAAAACAAGCCTGCAGTCAGTAAAAATTAGATTAGATTTGATAGAACTTTATTGATCCCTTTGGTAGGGTACCTCAGAGAAATTGTTGTACTAGCAACAACACAACACCAACACAACATTAGTAATAATAATAATAATAACAATAATAACAACAACAATAATGGATACACTAACAGTGCTAAAGTGCCAAAATATTCCACACAGTCCGGTGACAGAGCATGATGCTCTATCTCACCCCAATGTCCTCACTCCTCATCTCTCGCTCCCCACCTCTGCTCCTCCCTGTCCCGGCAAAGTGTAACAGAAGCAAAAGATTCTCAGAAACTGGTTGGGGTTAAGAGGGTTAAACCTCCCAAACTGCTGACAGACTCATCAGGGCTGCTTCTACAGTGTCAAACATGTTTGATAATTAGGAGTGAAACTGTAGATTGTTAGAATTATTCCTCGAGTGATCCTGTAGTGTGTGATGTGCCATTATTTTCCAACTTTGTAGTTTTTTTATGTGAGTGATGCAACCTGATTTCAAACTCCTTCAGTCTGAGCCCAGCATTAGAGTGCCATAAGCTACAAAAAGGTGACAGAGGACCTTTAAAGGAAGAGCAGGCAGTGATAAAGAACAGAGGGCAAGGTGACAGCCTGGCTCCTCAGAGGAAAAACATGTTGTACAGTCATCCACCCACATCTGCACGTAGTGCACTGCCAACATTCCCAAAAAGGTCTAAACATGCTAGTAGTATCTCTCCCATTCTGTTTAGCTTTTGTATCTGATGTGTATAACCACTGTCATAAGGGTATATCGTATTTATGTGCGTAACAGTGATGCACTGATGATGCTATACGGCTCCAAGTACTTGTCTGGACTTCCCCTAGTTAGCTGGCTGTTAATGCCAGCCTTCTGTTAACTGTAAGTGCCATGATTGCCATGATGCAGCATGACCATAAGAGGAATGTGGAGGGGTGGGGGCATGTCTGGCTGGTGTCTGAGCGGTGTCTCTAAGGATCTGTAAAACTTGCCGGATGTCTCCGTCATGCCTGCTCTGCTCTGCTGGGAAAGGAAAGCAGGAAGAGCCACACACGGCGCTCAACACTGTACCACCCTTCCCTTTGACACCTTGACCACGAGTCTAAGAATGGCTTGAATGGAGTTGGTGCCATTTCCTGGATGTCCTATCATGTTTCCTGCAAATCCAATATCTATTAATGTAGTTACCATTCCTGAGAGATAGAATAAGGTATTTTTGTGACTTTTTTTTGGTAGTCAACGCAGCATGGATGTAGGATTGCAGGAAAGTACAGTGAATATCTTCTGCTGTATTTCTTACCACGTCACTTGCACTTGAAAAGTCGTTGTTGAGCAAGCTTTCCAAAGCCATCCAGCGGACTGGCCGGTTCTCATTATCCCCCAGACAGTGGTAATCCATAGGAAATAGATCTCGAGCGAGGGCATTGTCTGTAATCTTCACTTGCATGTTGTCGTCAATGCTGTCGGGGGGGGGGGGGGTTAGGGGAGAAAGCAAAGTCGGCATCTTTATTTTTTTTTTAGTAATTAAATTCCAAAGCAAATCACCTGAAAGCTGCAGGGAGGATCTGAGGACAGACTGACGACAGCTCTGAACCTGGTCAGGGACACTTACACGCAGTTCCTCGCGGCAAGGTCTTTGTGTATGACCTCCCTGCGAGCCAGGTAGCTCATTCCACATGCAATCTGGATGGCCATGTACACCAAGTCTTGCTGAGAGATCGCCTGAAAGGAAACGAGGGAGAAACAGAGACAATATGCAGTTGAAAGACAGAAGCAGGAAAGACAACAACAAAAAAAAAAGGAAAGAACAGGAGGGACTGAGAACAAGAGGCGAGAGCTGACTTGATTTTACATGGAACTATGGATCAAATATGGAAATTACCTTCACGAAATCTAGAAATTCAACTGTAAGGTTTAATTCAATTAAATTTTAATTCAATTTTATTTGTATAGCAGTTTACAACACATGCCATCACACAGCGCTTAACAAAGTAAGGTATAGACCTTACAAATATATCAACTGAAAAACATGACCTGGGTTTTTCCTGCACAGAGGAATTTTTGGCACCCCCAAAGAGGTTTTACCCAGTGGCGAAGGAAAATCCCCTGCATTTTGTTAGTTGGGGTTTCATTGACTCAAATGCACAAGACAATTTTTGTTCATCTCATTGCCTTTTTATAAAGTGAACCGATCCTGCTGTTGTCCAAAGTCACCTCCCTAGCACTAATTGTGAGCCATGAAGAACCCTATTGACGTGTTTAAACCAATGCTGCTTCCCTGAATCGAACACTTTTAAAACATAATTATCAAAATCTAATAATGCAAAAAGTATTAAATACCAAGCAACTTGGCTGAAGGGATGGCAGTGTTGGTTTAACAGTTCTTCTGTCCTCTAGTTGTATCATCAGGTTGTTGTTTTTAGCGTTTAAAGATAGACTGCCATGAAATCTGGTACACTGTACAAAGGCTGGGTTTGGTGAACCTTAAACTTTTCTTCTAGTACTGCCTTCAGGTACTTACTTAAGCTAATTAGCACATTCAGTGTGCAAAACCATTTTTGTGTGAATTGGCAAAACTAAGATGTGTCAAACATCTGCTTAACATTAGCATGTTTCCTAAAACTAATGATTATTATCTTTGTTGTTGCTTAATCTGTTGATTATTTTCTCGATTAATCGAAACATTGTTTGGCATAAAATGTCATAAAATAGTTAGGAAAAAAAAGAAGTCAATTAGTGTTTCCCAAAGCCCCAGATGATATCCTCAAATGTCTTGTTTTGTCCACTAACAAGATAGTTTAGTTATTTTACTCGGAGGAGGAAAGAAAATAGGAAATGTTCACATCTAAGAAGCTGGAAGCAGAGAATTTTGATGTTTTCTTAAAAAAGTACTCAAACCAAATAATTGATTCTAAAAATAGTTGCCAAATAATTTAATATTCAACAAGTAAGAGATATACTCGTTCCAGCTCTAGTTAGCTTTGTTACTGCAAGTGTGGTAACATGCTGATGTTAACATGTAGAAAGACCACTCACCCTCTCAGTCCACTTTGCAAAAACTACAGATTATATTTGTGCTGAAATTGCAGTGTTTCCTCTAGGATTTTTTTCAGCAGTGGGGGCAGGCTCTCCAGGGAGCCGTGGTGGCGTAAACAAATGACATTTGACTGCGGATTTTACTTTTACAACCTATTTATTGAATGGCCAGTTGAAAATGTTTTTTTAAAGGCTGAATGTAAAAACTAAAAGAATAAAAAATAAAACAATAAATTTCAATAAATAAAAAAAACAAAAAAACAATCAATAACAATTTCTTGATGGGGCTGTAGAATCAGTGGCAAACTTTGCATCCAGGCTCAGAACAATTATTGTTTCTGGGTTTTTTATAAAAGAGCTCTAAGGCTCTGTTGTAGGGAAATTCTCGGAGAGGTGGCCGCTGATGCTCAGCAGCACACATGATGCAAGTTGAGCCCCTGCAGCTTTTTATCAAGTCAGTCTTCACCTACAAATAGAAACAATAAAGACTTTGTTTCACTCAATTTCCTACACCCTAATCATTTAAAAGTAATTCATTCTAACCGTCATCATTTATGAGTCAGTAAAAGGCTAATGATACCTGGCTAGCCTCGTCTCCATCAGGTGTCTTTGTCTTCTTAGAGAAATATTTGAACAAGCTCATCTGAAGATGCAGTTACATCATGGTGTGTAGATATTAGCTTAATGCTATCAGTTAGTCTACTCACATTAGTGACACTGAGTTGGCCCCGGGCCCAATTAACTTAAGATACTGATATGTTACGTAACGTTAGCTGGCTATCAATATTTTGCAAATGTCTATTTAACATGTAAAATCTATTATGGGTTACCTTAAGCAAATAAGTCTACCTTTCCTCCAGTAAGTCGCTGCCCTATTCTCCAAGACGACCCTCCTCCGACTCTCTGACCTGGAGCCTGGTGCTGGACGTGACGTCACTCTCTGCGCTCTCGCGAGTAATTAACGTTGTATTAACCCCCCAAAGAGTAGATACTGAGCAAGATAGTTATCTGTCGTTTACCTTAGTACTCGCGAGTACCCGATCCCCCCATGCAGGAGTCTGCTGTGAAGGTGGAGACATGTGGCGGTGGTGTAAATTTAACAAAAAAAAAAATTGAAGGGGCGGCAGCTAGGATTTAGGAATGGCAGCCCGCCACTGCTAAATGAATGTAGAGGAAACACTGAATTGTAAAATCACATAACTGACATTGCTTAGTAACGTTGTATGCAGGAGAGGGACCAGGATGTGACCTGACATGACACAAAAAGTTTGTTATTTGAAGGTTTGTACGAGTCTGACATGAAAGAAAGTTATGTGCTTTGTGCTCCAAGCTACTGAAGGCCTTATAGACAATAGCTGGGCAGCAGGTGTGTCAGAAAAAATCCTTAACAGTATGCACAGAAAAGACCCCTGACTGCTAACAAAGTGAGGCAGCTCCAATAATGTAAACATCCTGTATAGCTGAAAAGACAATAGTAACTTATAAGAGAGCTCCTGAAGTCAATGCACAATATATTGAAGTGTTCAACATATTTTTGCTTCGGCTCTATTTCAGTCAGCACAATCCTTGGCTCACATCCACAGAGAGGAAATACTTTGGGTGATGTCTTATCTGCTGGTGGATACTGTGATATGACCAAAATGAAATACTCCCCACAACACTGGAAAAAAGTCTAAGGCAACCAGTGAACAAAGATAAGAACATTTCAGGTCAACTATTCATGCCAAACTGAGATGTGTAAACCAAAGAGTCTAGCAACATGCACACTAACAACCAGTCATCAATGGAAAAATGACAACTGTGAAAAAGGTCAACACTCCAATTTTTTTCTCCTTACAGTTGCACCTTCCAGATGTTCGCTTTCAGAACGAATGCCACACCGCACTGTTGTGCTCTCTTAGTGCTTTTCCCAGAGCTTAGTCTCAACTGCACTGATACATGGCTGATTTATAGCTTGATGTTTATTGCAACAGCACAACTTAATGACTATGTCTTTGTCTCCCACAACTGCCAAAGTGCTAGAAATTGCTGAGAAGGAAGGTGCTGATGTGTTACCGGAGACTTTACAAAGGGGTTTTGATTAATGCAAATGGTTGGCAAGCTTCATCTTGTGATTGCAAAGTGTTTTGCTACATCTGTATTTTGGAGCTGATTGATTGGTTGGATCTGTGGTGTGGCTTTGCCAAGCACATCAAAGACTCCCCGAGGTTAACCTGTACAAAAGCCTGATTGTCTTCACATAGCGAATAAAAATCTCTGCCCTGAGCACCAGCTTTTTGACTATATCAACAGACTTTCTAATCATAGTGTAAACAGTAGTTACTATAGGTGTTACTTGGTGTTTTTATTCCCACAAACACACAAAACCTTCTTTCAGGTTGAACACTGGGATGGAATCTGACTTTTCTTCTAATTCAAGGGATTTTTTAACAGCTTTATAAATGCTACACAGGTCTTTCACTGGGGCATTTATCTTTACAGTTTAACAAGCAAATGTGTGCTGATTTGAAGCCTCACCTGTGGGTTGTTAGCCTCGGCTAGCTTGCACTGCCGCAGGAACAGCTTGAGATTCCCCCAAGCCATGAAAGGCAACAGCACCATTGGCTTCTCTCCATCCTCTGTGCACACATGGCTTATGGGTAACAGATTTCTAAAGGTGGAGAAAGACAGGAACAGTGTGTACTAGATCGTTATTTTCTGCGTATACATATGTGTGGAAGTCACATCAAAAGGGTTCTGGGAAGACAGCAGTACATGTTAAAAGGGGTCATCCAAACCACTGAGGAGGAAGTGTCAGCAAATCTAATCATCGTGCTGACCTCAGAAAAAGGAAAGAGGAAGGAATAGGCCAACGTGACGACAATCTTTTTCCACATTAGACGAGCACTTCAAATTGGCAAGGCTATTGTACGTTTGGGGTAAAATTTGCAGAAATAATTCCACAGTGCAGCATGCAAGTGCTACATTCATGTCAGAAAAAATGTTTGTTTTGTTATCTGTACAGTTACAGAATCGGCTTTGGTGTGTTTGTGGTTGTGTTTCATCAGTGTTCAAACCCAGCCAAGGACCGAGTTCACATGAAACTAGTTTTTTTTTTTTGCTTTGTTAAGAACTAAACCTGTTGAAACATTTACAGTAGAGAAACGCACTAGGGCTGCAGTCTCCAGGTCAACTTGTTAACTGATTAATCAATATGCTGTCATCTGACAAAATTCTGCTGCTTTCTTTTTTTTTGTATTATGTTTTTATTGACATTCAGTGATAAATGTAGTATGTACATCTGCTTTAGTTATTAGTCACAAAATATCAGCCTGAATATCCCTTTCTTTAACACAAAAAAGAACATAAAAAGGAAAAACAGAAAAAGAAACTTAACATAAAGGGAGTGGGATGCAGTTATTGCTACATACATAGTATATTATTTCAAATTAGCCGAGTCAAAATCTGGCCTACGTGGCATTATGTAGTCCATCCACTTCTTCCAACGTGAGACACAAACTATGTTGGTGCCAGATCATTCTCAAGAGTTTTACTGTTTATTATTATTTAAATTAATTAATCGTTTACCATTGTTGTAAACTTATCATAAAATACTTATCCAAGATTGAAATGTGACACATTTATTCCCAATTATTTTCTCTGTTTCCATCACATATTTTTATATGCATTTTAAAATACAACATTTGACTTTTCCTCATAAAGAGGTAATGCACTTCATGTGGAAGGAAAATACTTTTTCTGAAGAACTTCTGATGTAGCAAACATTTAACACACTTCTAATGAGTTGTTTCTGCTTCTAGAGACTTTGGAAATCATGAAACATGGCTGATACAAGCTTACATGAAAGACTAATTAAAGCCCTGAAGACTTATCTCCCCTTTTCTCTGTTGGTCATTTGGAGACTACAAAGAACCCTTATAACCAGGTTCATATAAAATAAGAATAAATTCAACATGTTGAATTTCCCTTCTGGGATAAATAAAGTATTTTTCATTTCATTCATTAAATATAGAAACAGCATAGTGCCATGTTCCCTTCTTGAAGTTTAACTTTGTGCTTCCACTTACCGATGATGAAGTCCACGAAGTTTGCAACTTTCAGTCAACATCATGGTCACCTGGACTTCAGAGGCGTGATCTGAAGAGACAGTATCTCATCTTTAAAAAACACTAGAGTGACCAGTGACAGTTGAAAAGGTAAGGACACATTTACTCTCTGACCCCATGTGATGTTTGATTTTTATCTGTTTCATTGCACAGTCCCACTGCCAAAAGTCATTTGTAGTGGGAAACTTCAGAGGAAAACCGACTTGTGCAAGTTTTTAATCTGTGATTGCAGCTTTGCCATCGTCTGGTACTTATGGAAAGCAGCATTGTTCCCTTCCCAAGAGGCGTATGAGGAGGAAGTAAATACTTTAACAAAGCCAAAACTGGCATGAGGATATTGTTCGCAGATCGGTATCCACCCCTCCCTGAGTAAACATGAGAGAATGGAGAGGTCAGAAGGCAACTGGCAGAGAAAGCTGACACATGCCGCTAACAAAGAACCTGACGGACCTACATAGAGGAGCCCCTCCACTGGCATGCAACCATGCTGCATGACTAAGACTTATAATTAATTTGCCGACAAAGTTGTCTGTTTGTTTACAGGTTTGAAACCATGTATGGCCATCTGCTGAAGCCATTGGAAAAACACCTACTATTTCTGATCGACAGTGTTTAGCTAACAATCTACATTACTCAACGCCACTGCTCTCTTAATTAAAAAAAACTAAAACAAATTTACACGGTCAGCTGAACTGCTACGCCTCAGTCCTTCATTATTCATCTTACGTCTTTGGCATGAGTCGTGCTAGGCTACAGACGTTTTTTCCAGTAAGCAGATTTCGTAATTGTCATACAAATGAGAAACCTTGTTAAGAAGGTTTCACAAGACAGATTTTTCTGGAATAATGCAGTGCATAGTGTGGCAGGATGAAGTCCACCTATACTTCAAATACAATTGAAAATGTAAATCAAAGTGACCTGTAGAAGCCTAAAAAAAAGTTGTTTTCCACTGCTGAACCATGTATCCAGTATGGGTCAAGAGGCAGCAACTATGACTATGTGGTTAAAATCATTGAACTAAGCTTCCAAAATATATTGGGGTATAAGATATTCCTTGTTGCTGCTCTGCTGCGTGTATATGCAGATTTGCAGTTGCCAGGTTACTAAAGTGCATGTGCCCCAGTTACTTGCATAACCTGTTATATCTGAGTAACCTTTTGACTCAAGTGCACGTAAACACACTGGATAAATTACACATTGATAGGAGAGATAAACTTGCAACTTCCTAGATGATACTTTGATTTCTGTGACATGTGTGGGTACAACTGTGTATTACAGCTAGAACAGAGTGCATACCTTTCACTGTCTTCACAAAGACCTGCTTTTCCTTACTGGGGTCCTTTTCATCCAGCAACACACCGTGGAAGATGCGGCCAAATGTGCCTGTCAAAAACAAACCACAGCTTTTTATCCTCAGAAAAGGGCAAGAGTGAGAGAGCCAGAGGCATCCCCTTCAAAGACCGAAATGTCACCTCACTCACTGGCCGCCATGCCTGGCTGATCTGTGGACAGAGGTGGACAGGCTCCTGCTTAAAATGCTTTGTCTCTAAATGAGCTTTGGCAGTTCTGGCTCCTGTTTCACAGACAAGAGCCAAAACAAGAGCAGCTCAGTGGAGCTCAGAGGACCTTTCATTCTTAGAACGATTCAGAAATACATACGATGTGGAAAGGCCAAGTGAGCGCGTTCATCATTTCCTTTGTCTAAACTGTCACCCCATAGCTTCAGGACTTTTCTGAGGTAAAATGCCATTTCAGAACATAAACCATCAACATAAATTTCAAAAAAAAAAATCTGAGCCCCAGGGCTAACTTTGCCTTGTGTTTCAACAGGAAAGGAGATGAAGCATAACAACAGGGTTAGTGTTGAAGTGTCTCTCTCCCTCCCCTGCCTTCTTCATCAAGCCTGTCTAGACCTGCTGACTCCTAAAAACAGAACTTCACTCCGAGTTCATCCCTCTGAGACATGGCTTGTATGTCTTGTATTTGTTGTTTTGGCTTTTGCATTTTAAATATTGATATTAAATTGGCTGTCATTTTGTATGCAGAGTATGATGTATGTGGATAGCTGACTATACTATCAAGCTGAAGTTCGACAGACAGACAAGTACAGATATTTGCATATTTGTGTTGACTTGTAGATAGCTGTTGAGCATACTAAAAATGTAAGGTGGTAATCCACTCCAGGGACTTGGAGGCCATTTTAGGACAGCCAAAACCTTTGTACATGTTCCGACAACAAGAAGCCTTGCAAAAACTCTTTCAGGGCTATTTTACGGAAAGAAGAAAATACCTAGTCCAGGGTTAGTAAACCTGAACGGTCCTGAAACACTGTTGTGTTGGTCCCATTGTTGATTGGTTAAACTTCAAGAAAACAACAAGTGCTGTTTTTCTGTCCTCTCGACCTTCCAAGTAGAATTCCCCACATAGACTAACATAACAAACCTGTTTGACATGCTCATAGAACTGGAGTTTATGTCTAGCAACTACAGTTTTCTATTGTTTTGGTGCATTCACAGTTCATGTTGCAGTCAAAACTGTTGGATTCTACAGTGCAATAGAAGCAGAAAGGCTGAAAGGGCCATTCCTGTAAACGTTCATGCCACTTTGCATCTGCCCTAAGATCCTGTAGTTGGATGCTGCCTATACTATACTAGTAGTTAGAAGACTTTGAACCTTACAGCTGCTTTGCTGCTTTATGTAGCACATGAGGTGTCTGAAGTTTTGAGACTATGCCGATAAAAAGCAAAAACCATAAATTTGGATGCCATTTCCTTAAAAGCAGTTACCTTGTGCAGCAACACACTGCTCCAGTGCTCCTGCCAAGTTCGGAACCCTCTCTGGCAGTCACGTTCTGCCGTCATGCAGCTGTGATTTCACTATGGACCTCAAATTTGCAGAGAGCCATCATCAAATTTTTTGTGAAACTGACCAAACCTTCCCGTCGAGGACCGTCACTGGTGACAAGGTCTATAGCGATGACTAACAAACCAACAAACAGGAATGTTGGAAGAACCTCTCCACTCGTCTCTGCTCCGATCTAACCCGTTCTGCTCTTCTGTCGACTCCACTGCTGTCAACTAGGCATGTCAACTAAGGCATATCTGGTCAACAGCATGGCCAAGAGCATGCTTGTTGTATTCCCAAGGTTGAGCATCATGACTTCATGCCATAGGTTTCCGACTGTCAGCATCTAGCTCTACCATCCTGAGGCGTCTGATGGAAATCATTAAATACAAATGACCTGAACTATGTCACACACTGTTGTGTCTGCTCACAGCATGTTAGAAAACAAACACACGTTTTTTGGCCACACATACACAATCATAGCTTTCCACTTGCACTACTTGCCAGACTTAAACCCCTGCTACCGTCATCCTCTTCCCCAAAATGACATTCAAGGTGAAGGGTCACAATTTTGACTTTAAATGTTTACATATTGGAACTTCAAGAGAGCATTCGAAATGTGGCAGAAACACTGTATTACACAAGGTGACTACTTCAAAGGGGGTGGCAGTCAAATGCAAGAAGTTTTTTGCTTTCTATCAGTGCAGTCGGCAAACTTCGTGATCACATCTGATATTTACCTCCAGGGAGGTCGTAAATTTAACACTAGTGTAAAAAAAGTATCAAAGTAAAAAAACTTCAGCTGAACCAGACAAAACCATTTAATGTCACCATTGCAGTGGCAGCTGGTTAATACAGGGCGCAGGGGCGCCGCCCCACTACTACTAACCAGATAAAAAGTAGTTCTCAAACGTAAAATTAAATTTGCATTAATTATAATAAAATAACAATAAAAGTAATTATATCGTTCATGTTCTTTTGCTATATTAACAATATTTGTATTATTAACAGATTTAATATTAGTCTTCACTGCGTGTTTACTAATTTTACATTTCCTGGATGCGGGGCGTCGGACACATGAGTGTGTATGTAGCTCGAAAAACTTCTCGTGATAATGTGACCTCGGCCCGGGCTCTGATTGGCAGCTGCAGACTTTCTCACGGGGTATGGCTCGGTGCGTCCTGGACCCATCCCCTTGTGCTGTAAGCCGATTAATTTTGTCTTTAATTGCTTTTGTCTTCTGTGGTTGGATATCAAAACTGTCCTTTGACGTTGTTATGACTGCGCTTTCTGACATGTCACACGGCCTTTCCCCTCCTCTTCTACTAGATGACAGCGAGAATCGTGACGGCTTAATGCACTGGCCGTGCTGTCAATGGAGAAAAGACTGCTCGTAGAAAAGACCGCGTGTAGAATATATGTAACTGAGTTTAACCTCAGATAAATCTGACATGTGAACACCCTAGTTTGTTATTTTTAAAGTCATTTTGGTCACACACCTGTCTGGGCACACCGCAGCAACCAAACAGCAGGTACTGCAGTCTGCAATGTGGGGCATTTAGGGAGCATCAGTAATTCATAGTGTTTATCGATAAGAAAATGTTCAGAAAGTCATATGTTTTGCCTTTGACCAGGTGGGAGGTGCAACAAAATGACAAAGTGGGCCGTACTGGTGCTACCAGTGAAAAAGTTCGTCTGGAGCCCTGAATAGTGTTTTTTTTTTTTTCATTATTTTTGTTGTGTGTTTTGAGTTTGTACAGATCCTGTAAATATTGATGAAAGTTTGATGAATGGTTTTGAAATTTAGTTCTGGTAAGTCTTGATAATTTTAAATTAGATTATGATTAGAATATTCTCCAAAGGTAGACAGTTTGCATTCCTGTAAATACTTGTGCCTGATGTTACTCCTATTCTCATTTCTGATTTAAAAAAAAAAAAAAAAAAAAGGTCATTTGCAGACACCAAAAATTTTCACCAGCCACCACTGGTCACCAGAGTGGGAAACAGGTATTATAAAGTTTTAACAATGGTCTGTTTGAAGACATGTAGAGTAGACGGTCAACTAAAGAGCAAACCTAAAGATATGCAGAGGCAGCTGTCCACGCTGGCAGCTCTGGGAGGCTATACTAAGAACAGGGTTACTTAAGGCAATGCTAACATGCTCACAGTGACCATTTGAATATGCTGAAGCAGATAATTTCATGTTTTGGGACCATGAATGTCTGTACACCTAAGACAGAGATGTTTTAAGTCTGGATCCAAAGTGGTGGAACAACTCACTGACACTAAATACTTGAATATTTCTTTCAGATTGAGAGGTTCCATTAGAGTTTTTTTTATTATAAACAGTCCTATTTTAAAGCAGGTTCAAATGATTAATTGAAAAAAGACTTACATTTAAACAGAAGCAATGACTATAAACCATTGAAAGCTATTAAGTGGCAGTAATAACAGAACACCCACACTTTTCTTCTCCATTGTGTTGTATTTACCCTTGGGTAATTATTACATCATACCTACTGCCACACTAAACCCCAGCGTGGGCAAATCTCCAGAAAGTAAAGTACAGTCTTGTTCAGTACCATTACTCCATGACGATGCTGAATCATTGCCAAAGCAGCCAGGTTCTGCCTAATAGAGCCAAATTGAAGCCCAAACAGTTGTACATATCTAAAAGAGATTTTAAAACTTCAACATCTAATTCTCTCTGTCAGTATGTAATATGCTTCAGCAGGAACGAACTTGAGCTGTTTTAGGTTCTTTGGTAGGTTTTTACGGACAGTGATCTGCTCGTCCTTTGAAAGGAAATAAACAGCATTCATGTTCACTTTTTTTTTTAAATTTAAAGGCACATAATGTAATAAGTAAAAATAATGGTGGCGCTTATAAACAAATTTTGTGTGTTATTGTTACTGATAAAAAACAAAAATGATGAACAAATAGTCATTAAAATTTTTTTTTCTTTTACTACTGAGCCATAGCTTTGTGCAGTGTTTACCCGATTAGCTAAACGTCTTAACAACTTCTAAATCTTCCTCACGGCAGTTTCAAACCTTGATACAGCCACAGCTCACGAGTTACAACAGCTGCCTAAGGAATCTTGGTTTACCAGTACCACACAGCCTTAAATTTAATATCCGTTTTACAGTCAAAACAGCCAAAGTAAAGAGTGGATTGATTCGCTATTATATAATGCTGTAATTTTTTTTGGTACTTCCCCAGCAGTTTATACCAATAACAAGTAATAATAATGGGCAAGCAGCAGAAAATGCATGGATGGAAACCTAAATAATATGAATTAATTAAAATATTTCCAAAAATCCCCTCTCTCCCAGTGTGAAATAAAAAACTTCCTAGCTACTCTTGTTAGCTCAGGTGACGTTTACTACTGGTGTGATGGAGTAGCGTTTTTTTAAGCTCAGTGTGGTAGTCCAAAAATGAGCAAAGAGGTCACCTAAAGCAGCCACGCCCTTAATCACGCATAAAAATAAACCTTAACATAATTTAAATGCATGAGTGACCGTACAGCTGTCATAAATGGCTATATTAACTATATGAAACCAAAACCACTTTTTAAACCAGGCTGTAAATATGTTTATTTCTGCTGTAAAGTTGAGCATTTTAACATGGGGGAGTCTATGGGTATGGACTCGCTTTTGGAACTAATCTGAAGTGCATATTTCAGGAATTGCACGTTTTGGGCTTCACGTCAGCTTCATTTTTTTTTTTTTTAGTTCTAGAGTTTGCAGCTTTATCTGATGTTGCTGACTCCACAAAAAAGGATTTGCAAGTTTCCTGAGCACCTTTGCACGACAATTTATAAATGTGTAACATCTGCTGACAAACCACAGATGTCAGGAGGCAAGGAAATGTATTTAAGACTTATGCATCACAGATTAAGACTTCAAAACACTTTTTAAAGTCCTTAGCATAGAAAAATTAATGCTGTACTGTGGAGACAAAGCTTCGTACTCCAGGAGGTTGTTCAGTTTTATACATTTTATATAGATACAGCTAGAAATGTCCATAGACTCAAACAAAGAAAGGCAAACTTAAATTAAAATCTTGGGCTTCTGTAGAACATTATCCATGAAAAACTGGGGATTTAGAAAAAAAAAAAGACTGAACAAAGCTATCAACTGCATAGACATAGGCCTAATTCTGGTCTTCCCGTGGATCTTTAGTTTGTGATAGCGTATAATAAACTCTGGTAAGACTGCTAATCTTGTCAGGAAGTCTCTGCTCCTCTGTTTTGAATATGTAACATACTTTCAGTATGTGACAAATACTTAACGGACGTGTGGTAACATATGGAACATGTTCTCATAACTTTGACTTCTGTCTTCTGTTATATGCTTCTTTAAATATAAATCCCAGATTCATTTTCAATCTGTTTTTATAGGATTGCTGTCAAGTCCACTTGCACTGTATTGCTCATTCTTTGAGCTTATCTTTATCCCATTTACTCAGTTTTTCTTTTCTTTTCTTTCTTTTTTTTTTTTTTTTGCCCTTTACCTTTTTTTTGGAGTATTTTGCTTTCTTTATCTGAATGTTTTCTTTGGATAAGAATTGTGGTATAAACTTGTGGCTTTCTGACTCATGTTGCTACATAATTTATTGTTATCATTTTCTCTTTCTGTTTTCATGTTTGTGTAGGTGCTAAGAAACAAAATCATTTAAAAAAAAAAAAGAAGCTTTTTTTTCAATATGCTGAAAAATATGTTAAGTTTTTAAAGCAACTTTAGAGACTAATCCTCACAAATTTGATAAATACTAGGTTAAAAGGCACGACACACATTTACTCACATGATGTCTGTATATGTTTTTAGTGATATATGATTTTAATAACTGCAATCAAAAACCTCTCCACCGTTCAAAACCAATTCTCACAAACAACGTAAGACTCCTGAGCAAAGCACAGGGAAGAAATGTTCAGCAAACCACATGACACAAACTGCGGTCTTAGAAAAAGCTGCTCAGAATTTTTGTTCCATTTTTCAGTGAAACTGTTAAACTCGAACTGGTGATCACATTCTTCTGAAGAATACAAACGTAAGTTGGGAACTTATTTTAGGACAAGAAAGAGAAAAAAAGAGAAAGGTTGGAGGGAGCATGAGAGACAAATACCTTCATGTAAAACATCTCGTAGCGTGACTCTTTCCCTTGAGATTGCAATGTCTTTCACTTTAGCTTTGGCCTCCATTAGAGTAACACTCCTCAGGTCATTCTTCTCTATGCGGAGAGATGGGTAACCTGTGAGGACAGAAAAATGCAGAGTCAGATTAAATGCACATCTGATCCAAACGCAAACAAAACTTGTTGAAACTGATTGACGGGCCTTTTAACCTGGATTATCACTAGAAAACTACCTGAGGGCTTTGACTTTGAATCTCTTTTGACAGTATAATTTTTGTAATTCGTGGGAAAGGTTTGCGCTAAAACATGCAGAATATTTATTTGAATTCAAAGAATTCAGCAAATTCCAAGAAGACATGTACAGTACCCTATACTTGTTGCATCAAAGCAACTTCATGCAATGCCTGCATTACAAAATTTTTATTACATAACCTCCCTTTGTACACACTGTCATTAGCAGCTGGCTTACTGCAGCAGGACCAAGTCTGAATACAAAAAACCCAAACACAAAGTTCCCCACAGTGTCTGCACACAGATGAACATTGTAAACACAACCTCTTTATATCAGCATGCTCCATGTGTATACAACATGTCAATGATGAGAGATATCTCATCAAAACCTCCTGCATCTGCAGCTCACTGCTAGTGAGGACAACTATTAGGCTGAACTGTGTACAGCCGCTTAGACAAACTGGGGATAAGCCAGATGATGGATAGAAACAACAGAAAACTCATTGATACACAACCTCCAGATAAAACTGCTCACAAAGACACTCAGTCTTCCTTTGAGAGACAACAGCATCTTCTTGTACATTTGAGCTGTGTCTGATATTCTGCCATAAAATGTGAGAAGAAACAGTGTTCAAGCTGAAGCTTTAATCTCAAGATGATACTTAAAAAGCACATGAAAAGATTCAAACGTGATTAAATCTAAGTGAAAAGATGCAGACATTTAAAGACATATATAATATAATATAATAATTATAATGTACTTTGATTAAAGGTTTAAATCTCTGCTGCTGCATGAAAACAGTGTAGTAAAAACTATCGCTCACTGCATATCAATGCTGCCCCCTCGAGGTCAAACTACGAGCCCCATGTATTTTCAGGAGTGCAGAAAAAGATTACAGTAAATAATAAACTTCAAGATGCAGCAAAAGACAAAAATACAACAATTACAAACACTACAACAAACAGTTATGACCAGGCAGCCCCACAGAAGAAAACAAGGGTGCAAAAAATATATATAATAGATTATTTTCTGTTGTGTCTGTTAATAGTAACATCCTGTTTCTACTATGAACCTCCTCCTCATGCAGAAGCTTCTTCAGCCTGCAGAGGGAAATTTAAACAACAGTCGGAAACAGTTATTTAAAAAATAACCAGAACTGTGTCCATCTCCATACTACAGAAAAACTATACTGCTCATGCTAAAGTATACAAGAAATTAAAATACATAACCATATTAAAGTAAAACGACTTAATGATTTACATAATATTATGAATTTGGAATGATATTTCAATACAGTGCCTTTTTCTATTTAAAAAAAATCAGTTATTTTCTATTTTTACGGTGTTCCTGCAGCTGCTATCCAGAATTTGTTTAATTTTCTTTGAGCTATGAGGAGCTCTTCCATTTGCTTGGTGCATAAACCTAAAAAAGCAACATTTATAATATGGATGTTTTGCTTCACAGTGAATGGTGACTGGTTTTAAATATTCACTCACTCAATTTGAATAATCATAGGTCAATCTAACCGATGGCAGAAAAGACAAAATAAACCTGCAGGCGTTAACAGGGCTTTAACAGGATCTTAAAGAACACTTAGTGCTATCGTTTATCAACCTTTGTGTGAAGCAAAGAATGTGATCAAACTACATCAATAAAGAATATTTTACATCTGAAGTTACACAAATCTAAAAAACGGTGTATCTTATATTAAGCCTGTTCAAGGAAGTATCAGAGAAAGATACATTTTCCATTCCACATTTTTCAAGAGTCAAAAATGTGATCTTTAAACTACTTGTTTTGTCTGAATGCCAAAGTAAATTAAATGTAGAAAGTTCTAAAACAAGAAAAAGCAGAAAATAGCACCAGAGAATGTTAAACATTTTTCCTTTAAAAATGCTTTACGACTCATCGGTCAAAATTGTTGAATACTGAAGAATATTTCTAAACAAATAAGTACTTTCAGTGACAATTACATTCCAAATACCTAAATGAGCACCCATGTAACTCCACTCACCAAACAACAGACACAGACAATGTTAGTACAAAGCAGATGAGATGCATGGACCAGGATTTGAGGCTTGAATCAGGAGGAAAGAAAAGTGACCTTTAAGTAACTGAATTTCTAAAAGGTTCCCCAACTAGAAACAGGACTTCAAGATACACAGGTGCAATTATCAAGTCTAAAGTTCAGAGAAAACTGAGATCAAAATAAAGTGTGACAACAAAATACTATTATTGAGACTGAACTTGTCTCTTCACTGGAACTTACTTTTGGTTTCATGGGGGGGAGCACCGGGATTTTGGAAGGAGGAGGCAGCAAGCTGGAGAATGGGTGCAGAACCAGGGTGATTGTCTGATGGCAAAAGGAGAAGGACGGGGAGTGGAGGGTGGGAGAAAGGGAGAAAGAAGTGGTTTTAATGGATAGCTCACACAAGTTACAACATGACCTGAATGGATGAATGGATGTATACAACTCCTGCTGTAACTTTACAGCTCATACACTAAACATCCATCACACCAGGCATGCTTGCAAGTTGGGTAAACTTGCCCATGAAGAGTTGGGTAAATAAAGGGTGGTTGGTGGTTCAAATAATAACATTCAGCAGAGTGTAAGGTGAAGCCAAGTGGGTCAAACAAAATGCACAGGAGGGTGAGATGCGGGTATAATCCACAAGAGGGCGACAATGGATCACACATTGACAATAAGACACAAAAGCTGCTGCGGTGGTTTTCCAATGGCTCTCAAAACAACACACACAGATGTAAACTGGGAAAGATTAAAGTCAGTCTCTTTCTGACAGCTTTATCAGTCCACATGTGATATCAACAGCTACAAAACTCTGTGGAACCTCACTGACAAATCACCGCCTGATTAATGTCGTGGATAACTTTGCATTGAATGCTACGACATGAACACACTGAGACAGAGCAAAATCTTTCTTTTTTAGCGACAGTAGGAATTATTTTCAGATGAAATTCTGTCCTTTTTTTAAAAAAAAGAAAAATTGCATTCAGATATACTATTTGCTGGGGATGCAGGACGATACTGGCATCACCACTTAAAATTAAAAATGGTCATTACCTCAAAATGTTTTAGGTTTACAGTATTGTTTGAAAATATCAGTGTAATTTTAGTCAGTACTACAGTTTTCAATGGTGGCTGCAGTATAGCCGGAACTGTAGTGTACTGGAGTGTAAACATTTCCAAAGACCTAAGATTTATTTTTATTTTTTTTAAAGTTATTCGACAAATTAATCAATAGAAAAAGTCTTTAGCAGCAGCTATCTTACAGTATACAGAAATAAACATTAATAATGCTATGTGTAAAAACAGGCTATATAGATAGGAGAGAGCAGGGAAAGATCTTTCTGACCAATGAAGAAATATTTGTTGAAGAAGTAACTAAAATGCACTGAAATCCGGTGGCTGTTGTAATTATTCTTCTATAATGGTAACCCTAAACCTCATTTGATGGCCCTCCACTGCACTGTGTGTACAGGTGTAAAACATGTCAAATTATTTCCACTAACACAGAACAAACTTACCCATAATTACAATTGGTGCCAACAAAGAGAGCGAAGACTGAGTGAGTAATAACACTCCTATCTGATGACAACAACTAACAAAGAGCTCTAGTGAAGGAAAAGTACCCCAGCTGAGATTCACTTACGGTTTCATTAAGTGACACGCTGCTAAGAGACTAAATGGCAAAAGTGAGTAAGTTCTAATACTCTAATACAGGTCTAAGGCTTTGTGATCACTATAACCTTGTTACTGTATGTCAACTTTTCCCACCATGTTCTATATTTACATCAATTTAGAGTCCTTCACTCCCTTGCAGCTCCGAAATAATGGACTGCTTTTACCTCTCTAACTGCTGCCTGACGCAAAGCACATGGCGATGACATTTACACATCGCTCACACAGTAATAGGTCACAAGGCTAGTAGCGACAAAAAGCAACACAACATCACTGCAGGAGCTGTGTTTACAATCTTATGATACCAGTTAAGCTAATTAGGTCATTCACAGTCAATTATTGTATTTGGAAAAGCATGCACATGTGCAGATGCCAATGCGACAAAAGAAAACGGGTACAATGAATCACTGCATGGACTTTAAGTACTGATCTGCTATGTGCATTTTTAAAAAAAAATTAAACTCTAAGTGAGTGTTTTGGTGTTACAGTGGAGAGGAGAAGTAAAATGTCTCACTGGTGACCGGCGCTGCGTTGTTTGGAGTGTCGGCTCTCAGGTACTGTGTGGTCTGAGTGGACGGTTGAGACAAACCCTGCGAGCTTCCACTGTCACTCACACTGAAACACACAGAGAGGAACAATAAGGAGCACTTATTTGAAGGTACAGACATCAGGCTGCACAAGGTGTTTAACACATGCATTATTGAATGAACTTTTACTGTCTAGTTTCTAGTGATTAGAAATAAAGACATTGGTAGTGTGCAAATGGGTTGGTAATACTTTGAAATTGTCGTTCTGGTTTAGTTGTATTAAAATAAAAAAGTATACAGTGGTAAATACAGGCTCTTGTACACTGCAGGAACTTGCAGGCTGTTTTAGGGTGGTCAGAACGTTTTTGCATGTTCTGACCTTAACAGCCATCTTTCACAGCTGTTTACGGGGGAGAAAAAGTACCTAGTCCAGTGTAGGTACTTCTGTGAGCCCCTGAAAAGCTGCTGCCAGACTCAAAAATGACAAAAAGCAGCATTTTTTGTGTGGTCTTGATGTCCTTTTCAAGTAGCAGTCTTCTCACTATGGTGCCTTCAATAACTAATTAATTTCTTTTTCACTGAAAAAATAATAAAAATGACAATGTGATTTTGGAGAAGGCTGTACCAAACAAGCATGTTCTCTTATGTCTGGGGAACCGGACTTGTAGGCCGGGGCACATCTACAGTGCCACAATGTTTCATTCAAAATTGTATGCTGTGACACATTTTACCTTTGTCAAAAAAAATGCAGTTACTGTGATATGGATATTGCACTTCGGATAATATTTTAATTCATTGTTCAGCCCTGATTTAGTGAGGCATACATTAACGCTTAGAAGTCAGCTAAGTTTGATCTTGTAAAGGGCTTAAGCAAACAGCTACTGATCTCCACTGGCTCGGCACAGTTCATACTAATCAGAACCGTAAGTGAATTTAAAATGAAAAAAATGGTCTAAAGTTGACAGATCAAAGCAAACTCATTTGCAATTTTGACACCTTCACAAACAACAGTGCAGCAACTTTTATTTGGTGAAAATATCACATTAAAAAAAATTAATTAAATTGATGTATTTGAAAGGCAAACAGTCTTTGTGTGATTTCAATTTGTAAGCGTTCCAGTGACTAACCTCCTCATATCAATAGCAAAGCAGGGAAGTGCTGATCATATTTCACACTGATATCTGATAACCCATGTAGCTGCGTGCATCCATCCACAGTAGAGATTACAGGCAGGGAAACAGGAGGAAAGCTCAAGTGCAAGTTTTGACTTGATATAATCCTCTCTATGGAGATGACCTGTTTTTGTTCAACAGCCGCATTCGGCAGAAATACTATCTTAGCTTGCACAGGTGACACGAGACTGTAAATCACCAGCTTCAGTGTCACAGGTTTACTTTCCTCAGCTGATATATAACAAAGATTGTAGTTTCTCTGGAAGCAGGACAAGCAAAAGAACCGAACCTGTCCTCCATCTCCACTCTCTTCATGCTGTGCAGGTGCAGGATGGCCAGGATGATGGCCACGAGAAAGATGACAATGCAGCAGACACTGACGCTTATATAAAACACCTGGGTTGAGGTGGTGGGGGTGGTCACACCATCTACTGACAGAAACAAGACACGTACCAATGGTCAGACAAACAAGCAAAAATGACATCACAACACATGAAATAAATACCATGACTAAAGCTTCAGCAGTGTTTGATATTAAGTGAGAAGCAGAGCAGAAATATGAGGTAAGGATAAAGACAGGAGTAAGGGAAGGGGGGAGTGTGTGGGAGAGCCTATAAGTGCACCACGGGCTCCACTTAGAGTTAATGGAAGCTGGGAATAGTAGTGGCTGTGCCCAGGATCCAGTGTCTGAGAGCTTTTCTCATCACCTCTCTAAAAGCCTCAGAGGGCCCCAGGTTCCTTGGGCCTACCCAAGCAGAAGGGACACAACCCACTAATGGTACTTTGTTACTGGGGCAGTGGGCTCACAAAGAGTATGAATAAATCCCACTAGATGAGGACGACCACTCTGAGGGGTGGAAGGATGACAGATAGCTCTTGAATACTAGAATAAATCCTTCTCTTTGGGCTTTGAAATATTTTGCTTTGGTTATGGAAAGTTTGACTATAATGATGTGCTATATAGACAGACTTCTGAGTTGTAAAACAGCCTCTGTCTTATCAGGCCGATGCCACCTGGAATAGACAATACATGGAGCCAGTTGGGCATTGTTTGTTAATATGCTTATCGATTCTGTTTTTTTCTGATTCCAATTGTTTGAGGGGCTGTTAGTGTTACAACACTAAATCCTACTATTACACTGATTCATAAATAATATTTATCTAATGATATAATCTACTATATTATAGTATAATTGTCATTTTACACATTTTATTTTCACTTAGAATACCATAGCAATTTTATTTCAACCCTCTGAATTACAAAACCTGGGACTGGGGGTTTTGAAGGAATCTTATCTTTTCTAATGGTCCCTGACCTAATCATCTGTGAGGTGCTGTTCAATCAGAACTACATCTAAGATCAAAATTGTAATATTTCATTCGATTCCCTTTATTCTAGAAAAAAAAAACATAAACCATTCACACCAGATTCTGTAAAGAACTAAAAATTCTGTGTTCCTCGGCACAACCAAGAAGCCATGAGTGACTCATGTGACAAAACAGTCACGTGACAAAAATTCAGGGACTTTTTTTGCCTAACTGCAAGCTGTGTTTACACAGAGGAGACAAGTATGGAAACAAATTAAAAATATTAGTAGTAGAATGTATATGATTTTTCTTCAGTACTATCCGTAACAGTGTGTGCAGAAAATGTTTTACATATTATTTCATTTTTTTCAGTTTTTGTAAAACAGACGTTCAACTTAATTTTTTTCTATGATTTATGGCAATGTAACTGTGTCACACCACACAAAAGACATTTTTGAGGTTTCTCTACTTCTAGCCATGGCTGTGCTGTTTCCATAGAGGTGCAGGACTTTATATAGCAGTGAAACATGAGTCCACAGTGAATAAAAATGTGACAGGAGCAAATAACGTTCCAAAACTGCTTCGGGTTAAGAGGGTTAAGTAACATTTTCAATACAGAACTTCAAGTAATGAGGTAAGATTACTTACAGTCAGGCCGTGAAAGAGTGTTATTGTTAAGGGGAATTGGAATCTTTGGGTCGGAATCGATTCCTGTTCACAGAGGAAGAAGGAAAGAGAATTACATCAACTTTGGTCACAGTCTAGTCAATTTAACAGCAGTATTCAGCCACACAGCTATAAAAGTCAGCACAATATGTAACACTGAAAGAAAAGCTTGTGTATTTAGTGAAACTAAGGTTGAAAAACTGTTTTGCTTTCAGTCTTTTATTACCACATAGACACAGTAAATACAGAGCCTTGAATTTCTACCACATCTCATGAACTCAGAGGATGAAGGAATTTAGTCAGAAGCCACAATGAAAAGGAAGAGCTTAGTGTGAGACGTAATTTTTGCATACAACATGACAGCAACACAGAAAATGTGGTTGGAGAATAAGTCAAAATGTTGTTCTGTGTAATTTAAAGACAAAAAAAAAACCTGTCTGCTATGCAATGAGTATGTGGTGACTATTTTTTTTTCTGATTCTTTAGCATGTAAAAGTAATAAAATAAGTGCAAATACTCTCTCTCTCAGGAGAGAATAGAAAAGGACAAATGCCCTCCTCCAAATATTCCTTAGTTATAATATTAATGTGAGCAAAAGTGTGCAAGGCAAGAACGAAATTGAGGATTGATTACTACACAGCAACATCAGGATTCTCCTATCTCACAGTTGCCTCTTGGTGTGAGACCATGAGGCAAAAACCTGAAATGTTTTTAGCTCCTAAAAAGTATTATGAGTTCCTTAAAAAGTTCAAGTAGTTAAAAATGATAAGTCCGTAAGCTGGAGGCAAACATCATTATTTTGTCCTCTGCTAAGACATAACAGGGACCATCCACGGGAAGGGTTGACAGGAACGATTGCCCAGCTTACATTCGGAGCACCACTCAGGCATACAAAGAATCTGTTCATGTTGCTAATTTGACTCCTGCTTAAAATAAGATGGGAATAAATTGGTTTCCACGGGGGCATATGGCAAGGAGCCTCTCGGCCACATGTAATTATCTCCAGGCAGTTTGAAAATAGCACCGAAATGAATACAGAATACAAAAACCTGCACATCTCTCACTGTAACTCTTTAGCGTGACTGACACAGAGTGCTGCCAAAATGGAAAAATATCCTATCAAAATCCAATCTAAACTCTATGTAGAAAACATGATCATTGATTTGTCTGGCAAGATAAAAAAGACATTTATCCGTGAAGATATTTTGACTTTTCATAACAGGAAAGTCACAGGTGGGAGTAGGAATACTCGCAAAGTGCCAATCAGTGCTCAGCCATCATTCATTTCACAGATTACACCTGTGTGAGCTTTTCCTGCTCTGCAATGAAAAGATGTCCGCTATGAAGAAAGTTTACCAGTAACAAAAAAACACTCAGCTACATTTGTTTAGGTTACCAGGTAATGATGGACAATCTTACTTTTATAGCACATTTTCCTCCTCTTGAAGTTGAGCACTGTGTAGTTGTTGGCATGGATGGTCAGGTTGAGCTGCATTGTCAAAAATGCCTCTTCATCTACTTTGCCCGAACAGAAGATGTCCACTCTAAAGACTGCATAACAAACACACACATACAGGGAAAAAACAACATTATTTTGAGAAACGTGGTCATATCAGAGATGCAGAGCATCTATAATTAATTAGGTACAAACACATGATCTCAGGCTTTATATAACTTAGCTGTAAAAGACATTTAAGTTTATTAGAACTGTGAAATTGTAAAATCTTGTGTACAACCTTTTCACCACTGTGTGGCTACAAATAAATAAAATTCATTGAAGTAAATTAAACAGTCCCTAAGGGAAAGGTGTTAATTAAAAGTTCAACATTTTGGGAAGTACAATATTTCATTCAAGAGTCACTGAATGTGGCTCCCAGCACCTCTACAGTCCACTAAAAACAACACTTTGTTTTTTTAATGAGAGGTTATGTGCCAGATTATATTTGGCTGTGAGTAGCTGTAAACTTTATAAACACAGTTTTTATATAGATTCCACAAACAAGATGTAATAGTATAATTTGGGTTTCCTCGGAGTGCTGATTGTCAGATTTTGTTACCACTGGATTGGACAGAGTGAGGCTAGCAGTTTTATGTTGATCCCAGTGCTTATGTTTAGTTAAGCTAAGCTAACTGGCTACATAGGTGGGCTGTATTTAACCAAAGAAAATCTTGGTCATCTGAAGTCATGCCTACTCTTCACACAGCACAATGATTGCATTCTATATGCTAGGCTTATTAGTCTAAGTGAATTATAAATGCACATAAAAAGTTGGTATTTGCAGCATTATAAATTATGCGATTATTTTATAAAATGAAATGATAGCAACAAACTCAGAGCAGACTAACATGCCCCTGCTTATATTTACTGAATTTCTGAAAATAGAACGATATCAACTGATGATCCCAGCACAACAAATATTGAGGAATATAATACAGACAAGTTAGTCTGCTGTTTTTAGATTATCTTCCATGCTGGCTGTTGAGCTGTGACAGTCAAACTGCTGTTTGCAAAGTTTACACTCAACTTTTTGATCATCTGTCAAAACTCTGTCTTTGGAGGGTGGGAACCTACATAATAAAGGAACAAAAGCAATATTTCACCAACTCTTACTAAAGCTTCTCAGCAGTTTCTCTGCTTTCCTAAGTTCTCTTATCTTATCTGGTTGACACAGACCACATCAGGTGTGGATTTACTGACACCATTTTTAAAAGTCTACAAACTAGAGGCATGTAGGATGCATGTTACGAAAAATGAATATTTGACAGACCAGAGGGAGCATGAGGCAACTCCCCCTGACTGGAGATGTTGAGCCGTGGTTGGTTCAGGACAGCAGGGTTCTCCATGTTGAATGCGAGCCGGTAGTCAACCTTGAAAAGAGAAGAAATGTTAACATTTTCCTTGCGTGTGTGAACAGGTAAGTGTGCACTGAAAAGATGCTGAGGCTTACCTTCGCCTTGGAGTGCCACGTGAAGTAAAGGCTGTTGGTCTCTGTGGGCACTGGCATGTTGAAGGAGAACGCATAGTGATTCACCACGTCGTCTCGCACGTAGTAGAGCTCTGCATCGAGGCCTGTGTGAGGACAGACAACACAAAATTGTGGCTGATGAGAAGATGTTGGATCATTGGACATAAATGACAGTTTACAACAAATTTCCTCATTCAGCCCAAGCCTGAGGAAAATGGTAAAATATCCACTCCAACTGCCAGCTTGGATTGTGGAGAGGAGGGGGGGTTTCCCCTCAATAAAAGAGATGGACTAACCACATCTGGTAGTACTTGAGAACTCTTAGTGCCCAAGTGAAAAACTTTAAAATGTTCAAGTGAGACAACATCCAAAATATGACTGTAATTTTCTGTCCAGGAAACAAACTTGGGCAGGGGAAGGGTTAAGAAAAGGGAGTAGAATGCCTCAGATAAAAAAGCAAACTAACATCCACAATCTGTTCAACTATTCAGTCCTCAGTGAACACATAGCTAAGGAACACCTCAGCACCACAGCACATGCACGTCAGAAAGCTAAACAGCTCGGTACTGTACACAGTCTTTACTTCTCATTCACGATAACAAAGTCAAATCTTTAAAAAGTTTTTTTTCCACTGTTTTTGTTTTTTTGCTGCATCAAAAAGTCTAATGTGTGCTGGTGAAATCCCCAAACCTGGCCTGAGGCAGTGCTATCAGTCCTTGAAAGCGTCTGTCTGGCAAAGTGGGGTCTGTCTATCAGTCTCCGAATATCTAGTTTAAAGAGAGGGGAAGAATGCGCCCAGGCTCCTGCAATACCCCGAGGCTGTCTCAGAGCTGTGGCTCTTAGACCTTTCTTACCCCAGCTCAAATAAAAACATTCTCAGGCATTTACCAACTCAGAGAGGAGACAAGTGTTACATAAACTAGCATCTAACAAGCCCAAAGAAAAAAGACTGCTGCCTTCCCTTTCTATTAATCATGACTTTTCTCATTTAAAGTTTCCACAACAATACGCAGTTCCAAATAAATTAAGCTCAACAGATGTAGTAATAAATATACAACTGACACAAATTACTTGCAATTCCATCTGCAACAATTAATCAAATAGTTCTCAACTATCAAAACAAGAATCAAGTATTTTGATAATCAATTACTCGATTTGAGTAATTATGTAGGAATAAAGTCTAAATTCTCTGATTCCAGCTTCTTAAATTTAAATACTTTCTGGTTTGTTTGGGGCTGCAAGGTGGCGCAGTTGGTAGCACTGTTGCCTCGCAGCTAGAAGGTCGCCGGTTCGTGTCTTTCTGCGTGGAGTTTGCATATTCTCTCCGTGCAGTGTGGGTTCTCTCCGGGTTCTCCGGCTTCCTCCCACAGTCCAAAAACATGTTGAGGTTAATTGATGATTCTAAATTGTACGTAGGTGTGAATGTGAGTGTGCTTGTTTGTCTGTCTCTAGGTGTAGCCCTGTGATAGACTGGCGACCTGTCCAGGGTGTCCCCTGCCTTCGCCCGAAGCCGGCTTGGATAGGCTCCAGCCCCCCGTGACCCTAGTGAGGATTAAGCGGTGTATAGATGGTTTGTTTGCTCCCCTGTGACAGCAAACTGAATATCTTTGGTGTTTGAGGAAGTCAACTTGGGCTACACGAAACACTGATTACCATTTTTCACCCTTTTCTGACAATTTATAATCTAGACAAAGCCAAAGAAATTAATCTTTAACAGCAACAGCACATTGTGCAATTCTTGCGCCATGCACGCTGTACATTAGTTTCACAATCTCTTTCCTTCTGTTTTTATGACGATTTAATTTCTTCCTCTTTTTTTGAATGCTTAGTTGTTATTGCAGACTTGTGGACCACTCACTTTGCATTTCACTTCACATTTTGTATGAATGTGACAAATGAAAACTCTTGAATCTTGAAACAACAAATCTATTAATCAAGAAAATAATCAACAGATTAATCAAGAATGAAAACAATTGCTAGCTATGCCCTACTAGCAGATGATCAATATATGAAAGTAATGTATGACTATTCACTTTTTCAGTCACTTTTATGATTGCTCATGAAAGCATGAAAATTGACCCTTAACCTTGGAAATGAACTTTACTCCTGATTTATTTTCAAGCTTTTTTTTTCCAGAGCTTTCAACTACAGCTCAGTCAAAGCCACTATAGAGACTCAGCAGTGTTTCAGTTAAAATAAGACAAAACAAAACAACAAAAACGTTTTTTTTTTTTTTTAAACCTTGTTAACATGTCCATCAGACTTTTTTCTTCTTTTTTTTTTTACTTGAAGACACATCATAGAGGAAATAAGCAGTCAAAGCCATGAATTCTGCCTTGATACTGCAGAGTATCGATGACAGTCTCCAAAACACAGATTCAGACTGCCAAGTTTCATTTAGTCCTCGGTCCTTTGACTTCAATCAGGGTTTCATACATCACAAACCAAAGGAAATCCTCATTTCAACTTACAGAGTGGAGCTCTCTGCATCAATGTTCGTCTTTAGAACCAGTTGTGTGTTTATGGCTAATGTACTCCAATATTACAACTTGTTGGTGTTTTAAATTGTGTGAGCAGAGTGGCAGGTAAGCTGGTGTGCTTGAGCAGCCGCGAGTGGGGCAAGGTGGATTGAGAAAGATTAGTCTTTACAGATCTGCACACTCTAGAGGAGGCGACAGTGTAGTTACATCAAACTCATATTAAGGCAGGAAGGGACTATTTTCACAGTAGAAGCTTCTAAATACGTATGTAATTCTGACTTCTTTTTATGACTTCTGAGCATCAGTATGTGCTGATGATAACCGTGGGAAGCACGCAAAATCTAGAAAGCTGGCCTAGACCTTCTTCTATAAAGTCACGAAAAGTATTTATTAGGGAGGCCTTCGTTGTATATTTATCTGTCGATTATTTTCGGTGAATATCCCGATTCCAGCACAGCAAAAGAATTGTCAGCTATTTGGGTCCAGCCCTACAACAGTGACTTCAATTTGTTATGGCAAAAATGCCAACAGACATTTTCCTTTAATAGATCCAACGCACACATTGAACATAAGTATCCAAATACAAGTTTTAAGGCTTCTAGCAAATTTACTCATTTACACCCATAGATGTTGTTTCTAGCCAGTTGTTGCTAAATGTGTTTGTTGTCGGGAGCTGAGCTGGCAGGTACAGTTCATTTTTAGAGTTTCGTCACTGTAAACAGCAGCCTGCTGCATCTGAAAACCCTGGTGATTAGAGCACACAGCCACACAGTAATAATTGCCTTTCTCATGCTCAACTCTGTGTGCCTCCCTTGTCTCAACATGTGGCCACACAGCTTTTATACCAATTAAACTATGCAGACAGGCATAAAAGGCCTAAAGAGGACCAGTGTGGCTCAAGTTTGTGTTTCTCACAGCACCTCAGCCATCCACCCAAACTATAAGAACTTCAAAACAGGAATCAGGGGCAACGGTAACAGGACCCTGTCAGTGTACACAGACCGAGGACAGGGAATAAGTGGTTCCTGAGGTTAAGGAAGTTGAACTGAATCCCTGGCTCACACACTCGGCTCTCTGAAATGGGAAAACAGCAGGAGGTGTGTCTGTAAACGAGAGCTGTGTTTATTTTAGTGTTTGGTCACAACATGTAAGAAGCCTCACAACATCATTACATTGTTTACCACTATAGATGCAAGCATCTTTAATGCAGACTTTTTAAGTGGAAAATACCATCATTTTGAATTCCAGTGTGATCACTTGGCAGCATGTCATGTTTTGAGGGATTATTTCCTGCAGGACATTTCCATTTCTCTCTGTTAGTGTCAAGGGATTAACAATGGCATGGGCAGAACACACTGCATCACCTACACAGATCTGAAAACACGAAGATATAGCACACTTGATGAAATAACCACAACAGAGAGAATCATAATGAATTCCTTGTGTTTACATCGTGCCCTCTTGTATTTTAACATTTCCAAAGCTATTTTTTGTACTGCATGGAATAAATTCTGTTGGTCAAATAAACCTAAAAATAAAATCTTTTATGTGACATTTTGCAAAGACATGATTTCTTTATGTAACCATTATTACTGTGCAATGTGTAATCGATTCTGAATACCATTTTTAATGAATGAGACTAAGAAAAGAGGTAAATCGCTAAGAACAAACTAACCGGTACAACTCTGGATAAAACAGTGACACAAAGCCATAAGAATAATTTATTAGAATTAGAGCTACAGTGTACTGCACAATTACAAGATGCAACATTGTTTAACCCTATTCAGGACTTTCATGTTGCCATATGTAGAAGGTCTTTCGGGGTCCACTGGAACCCAAGAAAGAATATGTGCAAAGTATATGTTGGTATTCACTATAGACTTTTATACTATCTTCAATAATTTTTCTGATAAATTGACATATTTCTGGTTCCAAATGCATGACAAATGCCCCTCTTTTTATATATAAAAAAAATCTTCAAAAATAAAAAAACAATACCTGCCACCTAAACCAAATGGCCTGAATAGGGTTAAAAAAAAAAAAAGAGAGAGACATATTTATCATCAACAAGATGACTTGATGAGCTGATCTTAATGTTTTCAAATCAACAATCCCACCAAGGCCTGAAACCTTCTGTTACTAGTTACAACTAGCTGGTTGAAACACCCCTCAACTTGACATACAACTTCTGGCATCCACAGTGACAGTACTGTGCATAAGTGGAAAAGTGCAAAGAGGAAAAGGAACTCTTAAATAACTTTTCATTGCTTCAGTTTCTATTGTTAAGGTCAAAAAAAGGAAAAAGCACACTCATAAAAACTTCAGCCCTCACCATTATAAAACTCAGCTCCTGCATGTGGTAAGCTCAGCTATGAATGGCCAAATCTGAACTGAAGTTAGCAGTGAGTAACATTTAAACTATATCAGGCTGGTGTGAGAGGTGTACAAAAATCTGAGATAATCAGCCAACTTAGCCTGTGACCATGTTAACGTGGGCGGTACGTGTCAAAGTAACACTGACATGAATGCCAGGACCCAAGGTTTCACTGCAAAACATTGCATTATAACAAGGGTATCATGTGGGATTAGAATTTAAGGCATTATTTACGGTGATGGGAGGAAGA